TGAAGAAAAGGTGAGCTTTTCTTTTCTTGGCATTCCTTAATTTATAAGCTGGAACCTGATGTATAAAACTGGTCAGCTGCTTATGCATTTCCTTACCATGCAGGCCCATGCGTTCTCTCTCTCTCCCCCTCTCTCTCCCTCCCTCCCTCTCTCTCTCTCTCTCTCTCTCTCTCTCTCTCTCTCTCTCTCTCTCTCTCTCTGTGTGTGTGTGTGTGTGTGTGTGTCTGTCTCTGTCTGTCTGTCTGTCTGTCTGTCTGTCTATCTGTCTGTCTGTCTGTCTCTGTCTGTCTGTCTGTCTAAATCTTTGACCTAAACCCAAACTTATTCTTTTCCAAGCACAATTCTCAAAAGTTCTTTTTAGCAAAATCTATTGCAATAGATAGGATTATAAGAACTCCAGAAACTAAATTATTTTTGGTTTAGAACCAATATATTTCCATATACATTAAGATGAAAAACTCTGGTTAATGTTCTAATAAATGTTTAATGAACTGGCAAATAAGTAGCACTCTTCACTGATAATGGGCAAGTTTGTATCTGATGATTTACACAATAGTCTTTCAGAATCCTCTCAATATGGGGGTCAACAGTTATAAGTATGGATGAAACACTAAGAAATTGATCTTGCCTCTTCAGCGACCCATCAAAATGCAAAAAAAATGAATTTGCAAATTACTGGAGTTGCAAAAAAAGTCCCATGGGTGTCTGTTGATGCATATTGGGTTATACAAGTTACATAGCTGAGTTTCTACTAGAATAAATGCTAATGCATTTAAATGCTAATAAATGCTAATGCATTTATTCTCTGGGGTGTTTGCATCAATTCACATTGTGCTTCTAGTAGGCTGTTGTAATTCCCAGTCATAAAGAATGAGTACCATTCATTGGGAAGATATCAGGCTCCCATTATTTCAATGGATCTTGAATAAAAAAAGCTTTGCTAGGATTCTTCCCCATCCTGATAAATGGAGAAGAATGTGGCATGTGAATGTGCATAGAAAGTCTTAACAATCATTTAGTTCTATACTGTAGTTTTAGATTTTCCCTGAAGTGCTATAAACATAGGATGAAAATGTGTTGAACAGACATAAATAGAGGTACTGCTTTTCAGTTTTTCTCATGTTTAATGGTAAAAAAATGTCTTGGGGCAAGAAGAAAGAGACTGCTTCTGCGAATGCAATTGCTTCTGTAATGTATTGATAGATCTGTCCAGTGGTTATTCAAAAAAAAAAAAAAATATCCTGTGCTACTATGAAATTATTGAAAGACAGGCCAAGAATTATTTATAAGTGGGAATCTGTTTAGTGATTTGAGAGATACTAGAGAGATGATAGTTCAGTTTACATTTTAAATAATAATAACCAGCATTCTGCCACAGCTTTACTTCAAAAGAGGGATGAAACTGTACTGACCTCAGCTACTGAATGCCCTTATCCCACAGACAAAGTGGGAATGAGTGGGAGGGGGTCAAAAAGAAAGAAAGACAGCATGTTCTTAGTGAAAACACATTGGAGGGTTATGAAAGAAACATCCTATTGTAAAATATCAAAATACAAAGGACATGTGGTGAGCTTCCCAAAGACCATTTTATAGTCAGATCTTCAAACCTGTAGAGAAAGTTAGCATGGGGTTTCATTCTCCAATAAATAATTTACCATCAATTGAAGGAAGGGGAGAGTTTATAAATACTTAATCTCTGATTTTTCTCTTGTACAAGGGAACTTCCTCTTATGGTTAATGCATATTTTGGAAATGCTTCTCCCCTCAAGTGTTTCTCCAGTACGGGAGATGGAGAATTCACAGATGGGTTTTCATTGGATGCCTGCTCTTGAGACCAAGTAGTCAAACTTGACACGCCCCCTCTTGCTGGCCAGTCTTTAACTTGGTCTCAGCTCTTGACGACATGTCAGGTTTGGCTCTCAGTCAATAGCAGGTTAGAAAGCCTATTGTGAATTCTCCCTTTCCCTTTAAAATCCCTTTTAAAACTCCTAGTTACCTCTTTGAGTTTCTCCTTTTAAATTTTTAGCACTGGGATCAGTGCTAGTTTGTTTTCCACCCTTGAGGGAGGCAAGGGAGTGGGGGGGGG